GAGAGCCGTCGTGTCCGTCGGCCATATTTGTTCAAGCGTCGTCGTCATCGGCACCCCTCCGCCGCCGCCTATCACCTACAACACCCCGCTCCGCCTGCCCGTCGTCATTTCGGTTATTGTGTGACGTGTGTGTGTGTGCGTGTGTCAGGACCGTCTGCCGCCGTGTCTGTGTATCATCGACGTTTTATCAAACGGGAGAAATAAAAGAGAAAAAAAAAATACACACACACGCACCCGCCCATTACGCCATAGTCACCGCCGCCGTTGTTACAATATTGCGTCTTTACTCAGTGCACACGGCATTGCACTTATTGTGTTTCCGCATCCCGACGACCCGTATTCACGGCGCATATCGCACGTATACGTCTCGTGACCGTTCTCGTCCCGTTTCGACTCAAAACGTAGGTATTGTTACAAATAGGTACGTACTCGAGCGCACGGCAATAAATACTCAAATAACGTCCCGCAGTCGTCGGTTTGTTATCACTCGCCGTCGTATCTACGCGAACGCCCCTAAGCCTCCGCTACAGTAATCGTCATCGTCGTCGTCCCTGAAAAATTTACCAACAAAACCCGACAACATGAGTCCGGATTAGTAAGTACCACGGGTTAAAAACGATCTTTGGGATCTGATTTTGTCGTTAAACCGTGTTTCGCCGCACGACCCCTTTAAATGTAGTTTCCGACATTTATATCGCGTCGTTGCTGATGTGTCTATTTATGGTTTTAGCGATTACTTGTTCAAACTGCTGCTGATTGGAGATTCAGGCGTTGGCAAGTCGTGCTTGCTCTTGCGGTTTGCTGACGACACATACACTGATTCGTACATAAGCACCATTGGCGTTGATTTCGTAAGTTAAATTATTTATAATGCACATTATGGCTGGCAACTTAAGGCTATTTGTCTGTGGCATGTACATATATATACACTTTTTAATATACCACTGAAATATTGTGCATATTTACTACCTAATTGACATTGATCTTATACAAGGTTTAAAATTATTAATTAAAAAAAATTATAGATATTATGTAACGCGATATTTCATTATTTTGCCAGACTTTATTTACTTATAATAATATTTAATAACTGTTTTTCTCTGACAATAATAAATATACTTGTATATGTATAGAAAATCCGCACCATCAAACTGGATAATAAGACTGTGAAGCTTCAGATTGTAAGTATTACATTCAGTATATATATATATATATATATATATATACGTCATATATATTATAATTATGAATTAAGTTTTTTATGACTATTTAGTGAATCATGGTTGATAAAACAATCTAAATACTGCATTATACTAACAACCTTGAATTTGTTTTTATTATTATTTGGATATTATCACATAAGTGATAATATTTATAGGTCAATAAGTATATTATAAAAAATAATATTCAATAATATATCATTAAATGTTTCTGACATACCTAAGTAATTAATAATCATATTTTACATTTTTATGAAATTAACTATTGAAGTATTACAATTTGTTGTTTGGAATATTATTCTCAATATCATACTTTTTATATAAATATTAATTTGAATTTTTAACAGTTGGTATCAATAAAATAATTTTATAAAGGTCAATATCAATACTATTATACTACAGTAAAAAAAAAAAATTTAATAACATTGAAAACATAGCAATAATTCAACTTTTCATTATAATTTGTAAGTTTTACCAGTGTTTTAAATTTTCGTATGATTCAATTAACTTATTTCATTAATTCTTTATGTAAAAAAAAATATCTATGAAGCTATTCTTTATGTTTTCAATAAATTTTATTTGATCATTGTGTTATTAAAATTATTAAACCGTTTTTAGTAGGGTATCTTACTAATCAAATATATGTTGTTTATAAACACAGTACACACTGTGTTAATGATTTATGAGTCTCTCAATAACATAGTTACTCATATTTAAATTCAATTAAAAACGTTAGTATGTCATCGTCAAAATCAGATTTCATAATTCACAAATATGAATATGTTTTACTAAACTATATATATATATAAACTGTCATATCATAATTAATTTTTTATATTTAGTGGGACACTGCTGGACAGGAACGTTTCCGTACAATTACCTCATCGTATTATCGTGGAGCACATGGCATCATTGTTGTGTATGATTGCACAGATATGGAAACATTCACTAATCTGAAACAGTGGCTAGAAGAAATAGCTAGGTATGCGTGTGATAATGTCAACAAACTATTGGTGGGTAACAAGTGTGATTTGCATGACAAGCGTGCTGTGGATGAAGCAACAGCTAAAGTTAGTATACTTGTTCATTAAAAATTAGTCATATAAAATTTATCTTGAAACAAAGTAATAAAACTTTCGCTAATTATTGTTAATGAATACTAAAGTTGAAAATTATTAGAATGATATTGTTTATTTATGAATGTCCAAAATAATGCGCATGATATTCATGAATGTTTTATATGCCCTAACAGGAATATGCTGATCATCTGAAAATCCCATTCCTGGAAACATCTGCTAAACAAGCAACTAATGTGGAATTGGCCTTTTTAACCATGGCTGCCGAGATCAAGAACCGTATTGGGCCACTAGATGGGCAAGGAACAGGAGGTGCAGCTGATGGAGTTGGAAAAGTAACAATTGATTCAAAATCATCAGACACATCTGGTGGATCTGGTGGTTGCTGTTAATGATAAAATAACGGAGTCGTCGTAAGCATTGCAGCACGCTTGTGGACAACTATCGTTGCTGATGATGAAGAATCGAGCCACAGACAGAGATAGATGATATATATTTACAACTACTAATTAAAACAAAAATTTAAGCTGGGGAAATACATTTTTGAATCCAAAATAAATAAATTTAAAAAAATATAGGAGAAGTGTGCCATTGGCATGCTTACCGCCAGTTCACCCCTACCCACTACTGTCTTAAATTATTTTTATTTTTTTTTCAACGCGTTTATTTTGTGTACATATACATATATATTTTATTATTATTATTATTATTATTATTATCTATGATTATTAATTACGTCATCATAGCAGCATCAGTCGTGGTTTGTTCTTTATTATTATTATTTTTATTCCGATTCTTTATATTATTATAATAATTATTAATGTTATTCGCATACAACCTCCTACAGAACCAAAAACATTCCTATTTACCTCTCCGTGAACAACCAGATAAAAAAGCTAGAAAATGATATGACAACGACCTATTATCATATTGTCGAGAAATCTCCTTCATACCTTACACAACACGTACACACTGTTATTTTGAATTGCATAGATTTGTATGCGAATCCTCCCTCCGCACTTGCACACATTGTGAAAACCTAATTTTTTTCTAAAATTCTCTAAAACTACTCCTGGAAACAAAACTTCTTTTAAATATATATATTACATATTATCTGCCTGTCAGCTAACAGTTAATTAACATATATTATCTGTAAACATATGTATGTACTTTTATATATTATTATTACTATATATAGTTTTTTCTCATAATTTTTTTGTTACACGATTAATAAATATATACATATATATTTATATAATACAATAAATTACAATAATATAAGAAATAGAAATTAATAAATGAAAATAACCGTTGTTACTTTAATTTTGTGTATGTAACCAATCTTGATAAAATCATAATTATACAACGACTACTAGGTAAAACACTTAAATGTCAAATCAAATAACTTAGGGAACTTTTTTTTTTATTATTTCTTATAAATGTTTTATTATTACACGTGCTGAATTATTTTTATTGTTAAGTTTTATTCGCTCAAAATTTCAAACGCTTGAAATATTTGTAATATTGTCTAATGGTTTATGGATTATATGATGTTTGATACGGGATGATACAACTTTTTAATAATCAATAGATTCCTAGATCCAACTTGCAACTAAGAAATAATTCGATAATAATTTTTTATTTAATAGTTCAATAAATTATCAATTAATGACAAATTAAATAATATTTAAAAATCTGAATCATTAATAATTTATAATATGTTTAGCGAGGTAATACATAGGTGGTCTTATGAAGATGTTATTCTGTACATTCTTGTGTGATGCTCTGTTAAAGTAAAACTAGTCTAAATGGAAAGTTATCAAACGAATATGCCATTCTCTTTCACTGGGCAGAGTATTGTAGAATAATAAAATGTATTAACCACATTATAATCACTAGTATGATGAAGTCTTGATAAGCGAAAACGTTTTCTCCTTAAAAAGATGGACATATAATTTTAGTTATATTAATAGTATACATGTTATTAAATTTATTTAAGTTGTATACTTTTATAGTGGTATAGTATTAAGTATTACAGAATTTAAAACAAAAAAAATTAATCTTACAAATCAATTAACCAAAGATGTCTACTAATGATTTTATTTTATAATAATTGATAATAATATACTTATTTTAAGATTGCATTTGCTTATAATCAGTATGTCAGTATGATATCTTAAAATTCAATCAAAAACAAGTTAATATTATTAGCTTATATAATATATTATGATCACAATTTATGTAAATACAAAAAAAAATATTGTATAATCCAATGATGATTGTGAAAAATAAAACATTTCAATTAAAATTTATTAATGTAAACAATTAAAATTGATGAGTTATGATTTGAAACCATCAGTGGACTAGTACCCATATTTTTTATTCTCTATTAATTAATTGCAGTAATTTACTGAATAATGTATTTCATAATTTTAGTTTGCAGACAAGGTCACAATAGAAAAACATTTGTATTCGTCTCGTACATTAAATTACATAACACTTAAGATTTATGGAGTTTGGTGACGAGGAATTAATAACACTTAAAAACAATTAAATAAAAAAGATTATTTATTAGTAACTTAAATCACATCAACGTCCTAGTTGATCAACTTTTGTTTACAAATTAAAAAGATTCACAATAACTACACAAAATAATAAAAAAAAAAAAAATAATAATAATAATAGTAGTAGTAGTATAAAAGAAACAACGCTACTCATAGGTAGGTACACTTATATAAAAAATCAATAGATGAGATTTTTCAACAATAAAAATACGTTTAATGGATAAACAGGAACTACTTAGTCTGCGCACCAAACGAAAAGAAAAACGTCGTTTCCGCACAAATTTTTTAAATTTCGTCGCACAAAACGTAGTCGTCGTCGCACTACGTACGGCGATATAATAATTCAATAACTTAAACAAACAAAAAGAAAACTAAAACTGGTTAGCTCTCGCAACAAATAGCACCGACCTTGGTAATTTATTGTGTGTATTCAAACGCTCTCTTTTCTTTTACCCCGCCGTCATTTGCTCGTCGAGGCGGCGGCTTCAGCAACCCCGTAGGGAGCACGACGCGCGGCGGTTTTCCCGAACGACAACGCCGTCGCCACTGCGGCCTGGCCGGCTGCTGCTGCTCTTGCTTCTCCTTCTCCGCCGCCCGTACCGACGGTCCGGTACATCATGGCTGACATGCTGGGCTGGCGCGTCCGCTGTAGCGGCGGACGGGCGCTGCAACACCACCGCCAGACGGACAGGGCGCTCGCGGAGGCCGGAAATCCGGTTTGTTGCGTCACGGACGACAGATACTGGCGCAGGTCGTCGTCCTCGTCCGCGGACCACCGGACGTCGCCGTCCTTGATCAGCTCGGAGACCATCAGGCACAGAGATTGGACGTCGGCGGCCCCGGCGCTGCCGTCGGTCGTCGTCAGTTTGGTAGCCCCGTCGAACCCGCCCAGCTTGTACACGACGCGATCGCCGTCCATGGCCGTGAACACGTTCGGGCGGGTGACGCGGTTGTGCGCGTACATCTTGCCGTCGTGCAAATAGTGGAGCGCGCACGAGACGTGCTCCAACACGGTCTGGCAGTCGGCGACGCAGTTCATGCGCAGCGACGACAGGCTGGCCTGGCACAGTTCCGTTTGTATGTAATGGTAACGGGCGTCCGACCAGTTGCAGAAGTACGACACGATGTACGGGTGCGGGCCGATTATCGCCAACACTTTGGCCGTATTGATAGACTCGTCGGCTGCCGGGCCGGCGTCCGCCACGCGCACGCTGTAAGAAATGCCCTCGAACACTGACAGACACGTGAACTGTCTGAAGACGGGCGGCGGGGACGACGACGACGACGACGTCAGTATGCCGCTGTCTTCGCTTTCCGTGCCCGTGGTCTGCGGGTCTAAGACGGCCAACAGACATTGTCCTGGGGACGAGCCGTTCTTGCAGTGACTGTAATTATCGTTGACAACGAAACCGCGTGCCGACAGAGAGTCGATGATAGTCTGATAGGGATTGACTTCTGGGACCGTCTGAAAACAGAGCATCTTTTTAGTACAAGAACTTCCCATGGAGTTAGAGTGCCACCGACTGGTGACAATAAACTACACCGTATTGTACCACAACGCCATGTTCACGAATAGGGCCAATTTTGAAGTAGGTACCACCGCCTACTTGTTACTAATGTTTTGACTTTTGAAAAAAATTAAGTTACATTATAATCAGTACAGAAAACCATATCAGAACGTTTACCATCCTCTTTTCTTTGACGTGGCATTGTGTACAATCCAATTGTTTTATTATTGCTTACCTTTTCTTTAGAGCCTTTAATTGACCGAGAGTTAATGACCATTTGTTCATTAACAGATTCTTCGACACTGGTTTTTTCTCCATCATCAAACAGCAAACGTCTGGAAACGTAGTTACGTTTCATTTTTCCTATTGTTTCTGTGACATAAAACAAAGAAATATATTATTATCAATAATTACTATATTAACTATTGGGTAATTACTATTATACACTTATTAGACGTTACTTTCTATGAATTAGATATCAAAAACATCAAGTTAAAAATGCTGTACATAAGTACCAAGCCCATCAGACTTTAACTGGGTAACAATAATTATAGACTCAAAATTTACTCAAAATAATTTTAAAATAGGTCAAATAATTTCTAATCATAATATTACTAGTAGTTAGTACAAATTCAAAAAATATTAATTTAAAGCAACTATACACAAAAAATGTTAATTCAAAAATTTAATTTGTTTGCATTAAAAATTCTATTCCTAAATATTTTACTCAGACTACCATCATCTAGGTTCCAACAGGAAATTCTAAGAAATTCTAATAAAATATTTCAATGAATATTATTTGTATCTATTTATCGATTTCAATAGTGCTCTACAGTAGTTGTTAGGTTAATAAAATCTATTACCAATGGCCTACTTTAAATTAATATTATGTAATATGAAAATAACCTAAATTTTAAGAATTTGATCGACGGTGGTGTTAGATTTGAATAAAATTTGAACCAAAGAAATAGACGTGTAAACATCAATTTCATAACCGTCTGATGAAATAAACTGTACTGCTAGTTATTATATTAAAATATTTTAATATAATAATTAATAACCATACAAGCGCTATTCGACAAACTCAACGCGAAGACGTTAAATTACAATAAACATGTAGTTTTCGGAGATACGGAAAGTCGAGTGTACATACTTTTCGATAAGTCCGCCGATGCCGGCGATACGGACGAAATCGGCGATGGCGGCGAGTCCGATTGTTCGGTCTTTTGAGGGGCCGCGGGTTGTAAGACGCTGGCCAAATCGCCATCACCGTCATCATCCGCAACCAAACACTGGCCGCCGGGCATGTAGAATTTGTCCGTGTCGTCGAAGCTGCCGTCTTCCTTTCTCTTGATGCGCTTCACGTACTTGTCCATCGCGGGCGTGTTCACGGATCACACAAATCACAAACGGCTGTCGCACATCGTCGGCAACTGAACAGTGGGCTGACGCGGTTTTCTCGTTTCTTGTAATTCAAACCCTTTTTGGGCTACTCAACGGTTCGGCTATTATCGTTGTTGCCGTTAAGTAATTATTAAGTGTTAATACTGTTGATTTGTGTGATGCTTTTGTGACAAGCTATCACGCACGTGTTCGGTGGGACGACGTTAACACGGTCGGCAATAATGACTGCGGAGAACGGAATGCCGGTGTCCGACCGTCGTTGCCGTTACTGTACATGGCAACATGGCGCGACACGACGTTATTTCGGCGAGCGACGCGTTATCACGACGGTTGTCCCACGCGACATTACGACAAACGTTTGCTAGCCCACTGCAATCGCTCGTACGTACAACGAATATACGGAACAGGATTCTCAACGTACCGACCGCGATCCATATTATATTAAATTACGCGATACACCCGACGTCGAGCGGGCCGTAAGTGCTACGCAACGTAGTGTTTACAGTATTTTGTTGTGTCCAGAATTTTTTTTTTTTGAAGATATCACGAGTTATAATATGTTATAAGTTATAACACTTATAGCCTACTTTTTAGTTCTTACTTGTCGGGTAACTACAAGCCTCGAGGGGTAGCCGTCCGTTTAACGACTGAATTTAATAGTTATGCTATGAAAAATAACATCATATTAGTAGTTGGTAACGTTAATGAATAATGAGTAAAATCCATAGTCCACAAACCATTAATTAATTAATTAATAGCGTCATCATGATATTATGATGATGCATACTCATTGCCCATGGACCGGTGTGATATTATTTATTTTTTTCGGTGAACACAAAACAATACTATCTGACAAAATAGTATTTTTGGTTCAATAGAATTTATACAAACTTAACGTTTCAACGTCACAGCAGCTGCTACAAGCAAAAACATTATAGTGCTATATCTCTACAACTCGTCAACGTCGTCAACACACATGTTTCAAATGTTACAAATTCTAGAATCAATAATAATATTATTCAATAGTATAATATAGGTAATAAATTAAGAAAAATATATTTAAGTTATGGAGTGCAAAGACTATATTAAATATTAACATACTAGATATGTACGTAGAGCGAGAAACAATTTACTATTCTAAATGTTTGATTCGATTTTATCTTTTCTCAATCTTATATGTTTAAGATAGACATTAGACAATTAAGTTCATAAAAAAGAAATTAAAATATCTTTTTTTTTCTCCATCCTTGGTTGAAAAATGGGACAAATAAAAAAAAAATCAACCATCAAAAATTACATAAATACAAAGTTGAACAAGCAATATTTTTTTCCATTATATGTTTGTGAACATTAATAAAATAAAATATTTTAATATGGAAAATCTTAAAAGAATAATTTACACCACTGACAAAAATTCTAGTGAAAAAAAAAATCACTGACGAAAGGAACAAGATAAAATAAAATACGTTTTATTTTATTATTTTTTCCTCTTCTGTTTATTAATATACTCAATAATAACTATCAATTCAATTTTAATAAATTTAGTACTTACTACATTTTTCCAAAAGTTTGGAAGATATGGTCATTTTTAATAAAGGTATCCAAGTAAACTTAAAATATGTGTATAAAAAAACTACGTAAAACTTTATTAATATTAAATTATGCATATATATTTACAATAAATTGAATTAAAGAAGTTGGTATTTAATATTTTTATACATAGATAAATAACAAATGTAATTAACAACAATTTAAAATTAATTATAAAATATTTCAACTAGACATATTTCTATTTACTAAATTTACATTAAAATAATAATTTATAAAAATGTGCTATGTTTACTACGATTCAATTGTAATTATAACTAAATAGAATAAAGTTTAAATAATCTTAAAATAGTAAGAAGAAGAAAAATGTGATACAATAAAATTTATAAATTATTTATCAATAATAGTTATTTAATTAAATTAATTAATTTCTACGAAAAATTTAGGTAATTAATATAAAAAAATACTAAATTTATCAATATTGTTCCCCACTCATTATTACCAACCTTATTGGTAGAAAAAAATTAATGAATAAGTTTTATAATTCACAAAAACATAATTTAAGATCTCAAATCTTGAAGTTATTAATTACATATACATGCACACCGTTTAAAAGGTAGAAACAATTAATGCTAGGTACCTGAAGGGCCCCCAATATTGTTACTGTTACTGCCAGCAGATACAGTAGACACACCATCACAGCCTAATAATGATGTAATATTTGGAGAATTTGACTGCTGTAGAGAATTAGTTAAGCAAGAAGAGGCAGATGACACCAATGAAGAAGCGTTGTTTAATTGTTGCTGCTGTTGTTGAATTGATAAGCCTGATCCTCCAAGTAAATTCTGTTGCTGCTGTTGAGAATTTGATCCCCCTAATGAAGTGACAGATGATAACATATTCAGAGGTGGTGGTGGCGGTGGCGCTACAACACTGCTAGTACCATAACAATTGCTACGCAATGCTCTATACTTATTAAGTTCGTTAGGAAATGTTTGTCCCAAGTCTGCGAGTACATTGGCTTTGAATTTTTTCAAAGCATCGATCTTTCCTTTAACTTGTTCATTTTTATGTAATGCTTTCTCAATACAGTCCTTAGTATAAAGCTGGGGATTACGTCCTCTATCAATGTACCTTATTAAAAAAAAACAAAACAAAACAAAAGCAATGAATATAAAAACTGTCATGAAAAATGCTTACATTTAATTCTGATAAACAAGACTCAGATTATATACAGTAAGTCTATTTAACAGTTATTGGTGCTTGTTTTTTATTACCTTACAACCAAAGTGATCGTCTATTGTACTATGATATTTTTTTACAAAGCATTACAAAACTTTTGAACAAGAGTTAATAATAATTCCAATAAATAATATCATATTTAACAATTAATATTTCATAGTAATGTGTAAAAAAATAAGTTTTCAAAAATCTTCAAACAAACACACATTTTATTTATTTTAAGAATAATTTTCATGGTAAAAATTGAATGTCAGTATTAAATATTGTAAGAACTAACTCATTAAAATTCATTTTTAACTATATTTTAAAATAAGCTAATACTTTTTGTAAGACAAGTACAAACTTTAAATTAGAATTTACTATAATAAAGTGACAATCTGTAAACATACTAACACTATTATTATGAATAAAATATAATTTCAAATATCATATGAAGTATTTACCCTTTTCCATTCAATAAATGATATACTAGACTAACCTAAAAGTAAGATATCATAGAAACACAGAGATATCAATAATGAACATGTAAATTTTAGATTAAAGTTTGGTGATGTAATATTATCAGGTGGCGGATAATACATTTTACATGGGTTAATGGGAAGATAATAACAAACAAGTACCACATTTTTTTTAATTGGGTTAAATTTACTTTTAACCTAACAATTTAATAAAAAAATAATAATTTAATGATGCTTATATTGCGTATGCCTGAGCCCTACAATAAAAACCACAAACTTTATTTATAAAGTATTATAATTAAACTTACTCAAATACTTCCAAAGGCACATGAATGTCTTGTACGTTGGATTTCAGTTTATTAATTTCTTGTAAACCACTAACAGCATTTTGACTGCATAAATAATAAATACAATTTAATAACAATAAACTAAAATCTCAGAAAATTATAAAAATCTAAAATACATTTTTTGATTTAATACGGTCTGTCCTTGAGGTTGGAAATCGGCCACTATGATTCGTATTTGTCGTACATTTTCTACAAACATTTCTAATTGGGTTTCCAAGTCTTCCAACGGCGACGATGAACTCGACGACGCCATTATAACGATATTTGGTTAAAAAGAGAAAATTATTGATTTTATTTACGCACGATGTATGATATACGTCATAGTAGTAAATAATGTAAACTGAAATCCTTAGTAAAGGGTTAACATCGAGAACGTAACATAGCTGCCGACCGCGGACCGACTACACTGCGACTGGACGGCGAACGCTTGGGTCTAGACATTGTTTTGACTGTTGTTGTTATCAAATAATATTTGATATCAATAACGTAACTTGTTAAATATTCGCTTCCATGATCACGGCATTTTTACGTCATCACAAAGCATTTCAAGCGTGAAGCGGGCCCAGTTCGCCCAGTGCATTGTAGTCGTAAAGGTATTATACCTACCTATTGTTATTGTTATAGAATAGCTATTATATATTATACAACATTACTGCATATAGATATAATATTAACGATAATATAATGACCAGTGATGTCTTTGTGTACCAGGATTTAAAATGTCATTAATCAGGATAATAAGTATAAAAGAGACATCTTCGTATTTTGTACCCAAATAGTATCCTTGCACAATAAGATAAAAGGGTTAAGGGATATTAGATTGAATAAATGAAATAAAGGTTGCATTTCCGTTATGTTCACGGTGATTTTTGATATAAACGGATATAACAGTTACGGTCACGCCAAATATACGAGTAGGCACCTAATATCCGAGTTGCATACACGGTGTTAAAATGTCTGTATTCCAGGCAGAATTCATATTATGCAACAAACAATAAACATATTTTCTATTACTACAGTAGAAATTGTTTATAATGACGTCCAAGGGATAAAAAAAAAATAAATAGGTCATAATAACCGGTTGTCATTATAACCAAAATAATAAAAAAAGAATATTGTAACTTCAATAAATTTACACATAGAAAAAAGTAAAGATAAAAACATATAATTATGTAGTATTTAAATTAATTAATTAAATCATTATTTTAGAGTTAAATTTACAAAATTGTGTTAAAAAAATCTGTTATTTTAGATTGAACTGTATTTGTATAAAAATCACGTTCTATTTCTTTTTCTATGATTTTGTCTCGAGCTTTCTACAGTATGTTAAAAATCGTAGTGATCTTACGCCTAATTTATTAGCTATGTCGGAGTTAGTTTTTTTCACCTTTTATAAACGAAAAATTACATTAGAATTTTTCCTTCAATTGTGAATTGCTTTTGTTTGCTCATTTTACAATATTCCACAATATTAAACACATGAACTCAAAAAACAGTTAAAACTGTTAATAGAGGACGTTGCTCTTACATGTGTGGTCGTCTCCGTCTTACACACATACGACATGGTAAATTTTCGTTCAACAGTTTCTATAGTGTACTTTTAGTTTTGATATTAGTGGGATTGACCTATTATCAAATTTTTAGGTAAGAACATTATCGGTGTTTTCTCGTTGGTGTTTTACGATATTTTTAAATGAGTAAAGAGTATAACGAGTATAGATATTTTAAAACTATTAAAATTCACTTAAACATTAAAATATCGTAAAAAACCAACGAGAGAACACAGGTCACAGATAATGTTCTTACCTAACAGTTTGAATAGTTTGATAATAGATTAGTTCATTCTAATAATATCAAAACTAAAAGCACACTATTGAAACTGGTGAACGAAAATGTACCATAATATCGTACTTGTGTAAGACGAAGACAACACATGCGGGTGCAACGTCCTCTTAACCATACGACGATTACCCGTACACTGCGATAAAATAAAAATAAACTGACGACGAGACACGGCGATGAAATTATCGGTATTATCGGTTGTAACAGAATAAATTCTGTGCTAATTGTACCTTGGATAAAGTAAAGTCATTATGGATAAAATATTTTTCTGATATAACCAAAAATAACCGTATAGTCACAATGATCGATACGAAATAGTACATACAATATATATAGTTTTTCTGGAACCTTCAATCTAAGGTCATTACACCCAATATGTCACTACATCCGGTGACAAATATATATATAAATGTATCGTGGATTTAATAAAAGTTATACTATGGAATATAATAATATTGTAACATTTTAACAATGTAGGTTTTATAATATTATATCCAAATTAATTGAAATCTTCATTTTATTTTAATTTCTATTTTTTTTTTTTTGTGAATGGTATTTTCGGTACTTCTAAGAGCGTTATTATAACTATAGAAGTCAAATCACTTTGTATTTTATATTATTTCTAAACAGTAAATTTAATACTCAACGTTAATGTTGCATTATTATAATTTATACTTATTACTTTCGTATCAATTCGCACTGACTTACTACTGTGACTCGTCAGTCGTCACTAGTAATACTCTTATCAGAGTCTAATCGAATTCAAGAAACGAAGGTACTAAGGTTACTTAATCTACTTTTTAGTCTGTAAAAACTTCGTTTGTACATCATAATTTAATGTTTATAATAATAATATGAACATAGACATTAAAAAAAAAGTTAATAATAAATAACAATAGAAATACGTTTTTTTTTTTCATCAAATGTTGACACTGTTGTCAAGCTTGACATAATGCAAAATGTGGCATGATAACTTTCAATTTTTTACTGTGCACGATATCATGATGGACTCTTTTTCTCTTATGGTTATGGATGATGTTATTGTTACCTAAAATCAACTTTGTACATTTTACACTTGTATTGTATTTATAAATTTTTAATGATATATAAAATGATGTTGATACAATTTCTCAAGAGCTTAAATATAATATTTAGTTTGTCAGGCTTGTCTAATGCATATAACAGCTTAAATTTTTGTTAGTAGAAGAAAATTGTTTCTACTTATTACGACATAGAGTACTGGAAAATACAACTTCAACAAAGTTCAACAATTCAAAAATCTCGGAACATTTTATTTTTTTTAATTGATTAAATAATCAAGAAGTTGTAGCTAGAATATACGGGTAATAAGTTTTACTACGGATTAGAAAAATCATTAAGTAGGCTCCTAATAATTATCTTAAGACCTAAAATAGCAATTACATATTAAACTGATCTACCTAGTAATTCTATATAAAGCGGAAATATATCCATTGAAAAAAAGACAAATATAAATTTTTAATACTGGAAAGAAAAATATTGAGGTGAATTTTTAAGCCAGTTAAAAATGTAGGAATGGGTGTGAATTGGGATAGTATTGAAAGGTCTTTTAATTTTTATGATAAAGAATAACAAGAAAAATTACATACATTCACAAGCTATACTTTAAAAAATTATAAAACTAGGCTTACTATTGACTACGCTAAATTTTACTAAAAAATTTTTATCTTAATAAGTACATGAATTTAGTGAAATTAGTATTTTGATTTACCAACAGTTAACTTTTAAACATTATATACATCTAAAATTTAAAAGTGAAATAATAATCCATACATTTTATTCATCAAGTTAACATCTAAAGTAAATAATTAGTTTATTAAATTGGTACTTGTTAATGCCCTGTTACTGAACCATATAAATTATATTACATCGTCACCAGGCAACTTAATGATAGCAGTAATTTTTTATGTAGTTTAGTCTAGATGTAAATATGTAATCACACACTAAGTTTTTAGAAAAAGCATGAATACTTAAATATTTAAATCATATTTTATTATTATTTAGGTTAGACTATATTCTTTATATATTTTTAAGTACTTACCTACTTTATAAATATTATATTAAGTTTATTTTAAAATATTAATTTTAATGAGTTATTTTCCACAATATTTAAATAGTACTTTACTGGCTTTCAACATTTACATAAAAACATAAAAGAATACTAGCCGTTTCATTAATTTACATGTAATTATAAATATTAATGAATTATACGCTACTAATAGCTGTAAGCAATTTATTATTATTTGAAAATTTTGTAACAATATTATGTCAAAAATAATAGTATAAAAGACAATTATCCAGTGACGGAAAGATACAATTTATATAGCATTGTAACCAGGGGCATGCTTAAAAATTTTTTTGTAGAGGGGAGTTCAATTTTTTTACTAACAACATTTCAAGTGTATTTTAATATTAATTACAAATGAATACAAATATTAAGCTATACTTTTTTTTTTTACTAAATTCACTAATATTTAGGAGAGTTTGAACACCCCAATTCCTAGGCATGCCCTTGATTGTGACGAGACAATAACAAGCACTATTCAATTTACACAGAAAAAGTAAAATACAACTCAAATAATATTTCCAAAAAATTATTTAACATTTTTCATAGATACAATAATATTAATACTACATTAGTTGTATTTAAACACATTTTATGATATTTATTATTTTCATAATTTAAATGTAAATATTTTCCTGAAAGAACAAAAAACGAATTACAGAATACAATACGGTATTAAGACTTTCAGAAATGTTTATTAATTTTCTTAGCTATCTATTTAATTACAAATAAGACTTGTAATCTAAACAATTATCATTATTAAAAATTAGCACAGTAATCAATGGTTCAATATTGAAAAAAAAGAACAAAATTTAATTTTGTCATAGAATAATGTGGATTAATATTAAAATAGTTATTAAACACACGCATATATTAAAATGTAAAAAAAACCTTACTCGAAATAATAATTATTTTGTAAAGTTAAAATTTAAATTTAAATAATATAATAGTATAACTTGTCACATATGATTACATTTATTGCCTGAATAATGTATACTAAAGTAAAATATTGTCATCACTACACTTAATAACTATCAGAAAAGACTGCTAGTCATATAGTAATAATAGCAAAGACATTTATGTAATTTAATTGAAAAAAAAAATTGCTATGGTCCGTGGGTAAATATAAATGTAAATTATATTACATTATTAATGGTTTGTCATTACAAATAAATATAAATGTATAATAATAAAAAATGAATGTAGAAATCACTGTGACTATTTGAAAATAAAATGGAGTAAATAATTTTTTTATTATAATAATTAGATTTTCTTTATAAGTAATAAATTTAACGCCGTGCTCCACGTCTAGCTACACCACCTCTTCCTCCACGACCTCTGCCACCACCACGTCCTCTAGTTGGTGTTGTAACTGGAGCTGGCTTTGTAACTGGAGCTGAAACTGCCGGCTTTGTATCTGGAGTTACTATTGGTACTGCAGCTGGCATGACTTTTTCAGTTTCAGCTGGTTTATCTTCAATTTCAGTTTCTTCAACTTTGATAGTTACTTGTGTTTCAGTTATTTCCATTACAGTGGTGGTTTCTTCAATAGTATCTTCTTCTTTAACTTCCAATTTAATACGTTTAACAGCTCTACTATCCTAAAATAATAAATATAATGAATTAGTATAATGGACAATAAATACATTCATCTTATATCAGTTATGATCTTAGTTTAGCTATTCGGGAGTTGTCAGTTAAAAAAATATACACACACACAGATATATTAAATATTATTAACAAACCTCAGAATCATCATTTTCAGCATTTTCAGATTCAACATTTATGCTGTTATCAGCACTCACATCTTCATCTTTTATTTTAACTTCCTCAACTTCCTTGACATCATCATCTTTTTCAACAACCTCATCAATCTTTCGTTTCTTACTTCCTGAAGTAGCTTCTTTCATTTTAGTCATTGTTGTGTAATTGATATAATGAGCCGCAGTCTGGCAATGGATTGAAACACGTTGCTCGTCCAGTAAAAAACAATTACACAATCTACACACAAATCCTTTTGAAGGAACTAACAATTCTTTTCCTAAACATAACAAACAATAACATGGTTAATATTTCCATTGAAAAAAAAATCACTTATTTGCTAGTGATTAATTTATAATTTACAAAACAATTTGGAAACACGGCAATTATTGTTGAATGATAATTAAATCATTAATTTTGTAATTTAAAGTTATAAATTAAATAAGAAACTAGTCCAAACCTTTAAACAATACAAAACAAATACATGATTGAAAAGCTTATGATTACCAGTCTAATTAATATAATTATAAACCTTGTAAATAAAACAAATATTTAAAAAAATAAAATAAAAAATAATGCGGATTGTTACTAAATATTAATGAATAATAATTGTATTTGCATGTAGTTTTTACCTATGGCCACCTTTGGATCGTAAGCAGCGGGTTGGTTTTCTTTATTAGTTACAGATTCGTCAGTAGCTTTATTTTCTGTTATCGATTGATTGGCAGCCACATTTTCTTCAGTTGATTCTATTTCTGTAGCTACAGCATCTGATGTATCCATATCTTCTTTTATTTCTTTATTTTCTTGTTCTTTTTCATTAGTTTTAGTTGGAGTATCAGCAGCAGCTACCTTATTTCCAGCATTAGCCGCACCTTTCTTCCCACCACGATGATGTTTCTCTCCACTTCCTCCTTCCAACTCTAATTTTAATTTAGTAGCGTCACGATCACCAAGCATTTCATATTTTTTAGCAACAGGCATCTGATCATGATCTTGCTGGTCTTCTTCTAAATACACATATGATATAAATTAGCAAACAAATATAAACATTTTAAATTAATAAATAGGTGTAAAAAAAAAAAATTAACCTTCAATTTTAATCATGTCAATCAGATCAAATTCGTCATCTTTCAAATGAGGATGTTCCAAGTGGCGCATTTCAGACATTTTCTAAAATAAACACAACTATTTAACCACCAAATTCAAGCTAAATTATTTTTATTTACCTTTAAATGTCCAGCAGTAAGCTTATGTTCATCCATTTCAAGCCGTGTATGGAATAAGGCATCACACAACTTACATTCAGGATGCAAAAATTGTTTAAGTTTCTAAAACATATTAATACTTTATAGTATACAATTTTATTCAACACGTGTTTATATTAAAATATAAATTCTTACCCTGTGTCTATCACTTTTTCGATGCCCAGTTAGTGGTCCATAAAACCGTACATCGCACATAGGGCAATAGCTACGTAAAAGTGGCTTAGAACCAGAGTTTCCTCCTGCATTTTTACTGTTTGATTTATGTTTGTTGTTAGTCACACGTTCCAAATCAATTTCTCTTTGGTTTTCAACAGCTTTTATTTGATGTCTCATAAAATCAACACGCATTCTGTACGCTTCATCTAAGTAATTCATCATCAATTCGTGAGGTCTTCCACGTACATGTTTTTCAAAAGACTAAAAGAATATAAAATTAAAAATGATAGCTAATAGTTAATATTCAATAACAATTCTACCATACCTCAGAATCCCACATATGTTTAGAACATACATGACAATAAAGTACAGCCGAAGGAACACCAACATAAGATGCTTTTTTGTCGGCATCCAATTGTTCCTTAGTTCTCTCACGTTCATTTTGTCTAAAATTGTGAAACATTAAGAATTATAAATTGAATGTAAGATTCATAAGATTAATTTTAATTTGATAGTTACCCTTTTTTGTTTTCATCATTAACTTTTCCTGCAGATTTACGTTTATCTCCATCTTTCACTCCACCGCCGCCTGATTTACGGCCTCCACCAGAAAATCTATTGTGTGGATCCCCTCCACCACGACGCTAAAATATTATTTTCATAATAATATGACATGCATATGACACATAATTAAATATTTTTTAAATACCCTATTATCTTTGTTGAATCCTCCGCGACCTTCTTGTCTATGACGCATACCCCCCATATGCGACATTCTAGGACCACTACCCCAATTTCCACTTCGATTTGGTCCACCATAACCACCTCCCGACTAAAACATAAAATATAATATATTATAATAATTAAATAGGAAGTAACATAATATGATATTATAATATTTCTTATTAATTTTATACAGCATTAGTGAAATACCTAAAATATTACAAAAGTTTATAATATACTATAAAGATTCTATATTTTACAGCTCTGGAGAGAATAACCATTGTGTTGAATGAAACTAATCTGGATAACTCATATGGGGAAGGAAGGCATAACTAAAATATGCATTCACACATGATCAACAATTATTAGTATTTAAATATAATATGTATCACTACTAGTATTATTTTTTATATTATTACTTTCTTTTTAATATGCAACTAAATTAAATGTATACTATTTATTTAACCAAACATATCAGCACCATTATATTATATACTTCAAATAAGTAAACAGGCAATTTATAGAATATTACATTTAAATAGTAATTTTTAGTTAATATCTTAATAAGTATCTAAGTTAAGTTAGCTAACATAGATCTATAAATTTTGTTCAAAATAACTTTTAAAATATTGTTTAAAAATAAACCATTAAAGATAAAATGCTTTAAACATAGTGTATCATTCAATTGTAGACAATTAATTATAACTAAAGGCCGGATTTATATTCTCTCAAAATCCTTAAAATATGAAGTTTTTATGTCGTTTAAAACAGGCAATATAATTTCTTAATATTCTTTTAAAATACTAAATATATGATGTTTTATGTTCTTAAAAATGCAAAATATTTTTAATATTGAAAAAAAAATAAAAATATATTCAGTTTAAATTTATTATTTATTAACTATTAAGTGTTATTAATTTGGTTTTAAAATTTAATTAATTTTCCAAAACAATTAATAACTACAATAAAATGTTCCATTTTGTGTCATTTTAGTATGCAGATATGAAGGAATATTTTTGTATATGCTGAGAACTGTTTGACATCAATCAATGTCACTGGAGAATAAATTATGTGATTAATTTTTAACAAATCCCAGAAATCAAAGAGTGAATATTGTATTTATAAAAATGTCGATATATGCGAAAATGTTCATTATGCCAAAATTACAAAAATAAAAATATTCTCAAATATTTTCTGATGGTTATTAATATTTTTTAACATCTAAAATATGCTTTTTTATGGAAAATACATTTTTCCTATGAATTCTGTGTTTCTTGAACCGCAATGAAATCTTACTCCTATTTAACTAAATACAAGAGAAACAAATATGTAAAATTATAAAAATCTGACATTTAATTTTTATAACTTATAAGAAGGAATGAGTTTTTTTTATATAACAATTAAAATTCTCACAAATAAAAATGCATCCATTACTTAGTTTAGAATATAATAGTATTTAGTAAAATAAACTAGTTATAAAAATGAACATTATATATAATTGATTAAAAAAAATTTGAATTAATGTGCCATTCTGCACACAAACTTTGAGCTCGATTATTTTCTTACAATTTTAGTTTGAATTTCTTATTTAAAAGAATACCATGCCCACATGTGTCGTCTCTATTTTATATATACCAAGTATAACAAACTTGCAATCAATAGAGCAGATTATGTGTTGTTAGCTTTAATAATATGTGAGTGAATTTACCTATCATCAAAATTAAAAGTAAGATTAATAGCAGTGTTAAAATTTTTCCCAATATTTTAGTTTTGTTTCAAAATCAAATTATAAAAAAAAAAAGAAAAAAATAATAATAATAATAAATCAATACTATGACACTGATAATTTTTAACCTTTAATTTTAATAATAGATAAACTATTTTTAATATTAAACCTAACAACACGTATTAATATGTTCTATTGTGCGTAAATTTGCTATGTTGTAAGATGTAGACAATATATACGAATACAGCGTTCTTTTAAAGATTTTAAAATTTTGACAACTCGTATTAATAATAAGTATTTTATTTAAATTTATAAATTGTAGATTTATTTTATTAATATTCAGTAAACTTATTCAACTTTTAATTTAGTAATATATATAATTTATAGAAATGTTAGACAAGGTTTCATTATAAAAATTATTATTGTTACTTGCATATAGTTATTTCAATCAGTACTATTATAAACAGTTTATTTTAGAGAATGAATATTCTTAAAGGATTTATAAAATACTTCTATAAATTAAAAATTGTGCTTGATACTTATTTCACAATAGAATACTTAATAACTCTGTTTAATCTTCTACATGTAATGAATGTTGTTTATCTATACAATATATTGGTTAAACACTGCAAAATTATGATCATGAATCGGCGGAACATGCTATAGGCCAGTGTTTCTTAATCTGGGGGTCGCTACCTTATTTTTTAGGGTCACTATAACGTATGATTCAAAATTTAAACCAATATAAAAATTAAAACCTCAAATAATAAAATCAAATCAGTAAATACAAAACATGGTATAGTGTACAGTAATTACAGTATTGATTATTAATAATAATCTATGCTAATATATGAAAAAAATATGTGTAGAGATCGCTAAAAAATTGAAATTCAAAAAAGGGGGTCGCCACAGTAAAAAGATTGAAAAACGCTGCTATAGGCAAAAGTCCTATAGTTTCCCATATCTTTCCCTCGGATGGACAGCCAGTTTTTTTTATGGAATCAAGGATATATTTTGCTCAGCAAGAAAAAATATTAATTATGTTAAACAGATATTGGTCCATTCTTCACATCCTTTCACATCATTCAACAATTGTGTTCAAACTAAAATACCTCCATTGGCTGAGAATGTAATCATTTAAATTTGGCAACCAGATTATTAGTGGAGGATAATAAGGCGGGTGTTCTACCATCAGTCTACGTGTGTAGAACACGAGTGTTTTATTGCTGGATAGAATATAGGAAGTAATATTTATTTTATACCACTGAATTAAAGAAAGTATGAGAACATATTGTTTACTGTTGATACTTATCAACTACAGATACATTTGTGAATATAGTCTCCATCCTAAAACTAAAATTAAATGTATCTATTACACTTTTATTCAGAACTACAGTTCAAACTACCTAATACAAAAGGTTCTTATAAATAAGTATTAAGATGCATTGCAATTCACGCCAGTTATCATGTAGAGGCTATCTTTTATTAATTTAACTTTTGTAAACTTGTCATCGCCATAAGTAGACAAAAAACTAACATTGATTTACATGACGAACAAGCAAGATTTTATAGTTACCATGGAATTTGATGATGTTAATAATTTGCTGATTAAGTTACTAGCCATTGCTAATTGAGCTGGTGGAGGATGCCCGCCTTGTGCTTGTCGTGGTAACGGACCGGACCCAGAGCCAGTTTGCCAAGGATTAACGGAGCCACCTCCAGCTCGGTAACCACCCCCGTTGTTGTATCGGCCACCAGCTGCACCACCACCACCATAACCGCCGCCTCCGCTACCATAACCGCCGTATCCACCGCCACTTCGTCGATTGTAAGCCATCGGTGTTTTCGAATACTATTACGGGAATAAATGATAAATAATTGGCGTAACTATATGACGACAAATTGCATCGTTTGTAAATAAACGCGCTAACGTCACAACGAAAATCGATTTAAATGAGTGATCGCATTATTTCGTACTTACTTGAAAACGGAAACAAGTGGGAAAATGAATTGGAGAGTCACAATCTGACAACAGCGATGTGAAATCCGGAATAACGAACCGTGTTTGTTCTAATCGGACGCTAATCCAAACCGACGCCGTCGACTATAACTATAAGATGGCGTCCAGTCAGTGCTCGATGTGGGCCGGTGTCGCCGCCGCCGGTTTCGTGGCGGTGGCGTCAACAGTATCAACGAACACAGTGTAGCCAACCTAACAATTAATCGGCACCGAATTTATACAAAATGCTAGATTATTAAAGAACACATAATTATAAAAATATTTTAATGATGTAATTATTCTTGCTATTCCTTTCGGTTGCGTTTTCAGCCCAAATGTCCAATGATTGGCCACTAGGCAATTAGTCACATATTCCCATGTTATGTTGCTAATATTCACTATGTAAAAAGGCTGTGGCTTGCTTTCATACTTTCAGTGTATCAGACACAGTGGAGGCGATACCTCCACAGTATTACATTATGTTTATGTATTGATTTTTGGTCAATGCCTCCGTACGAAAACGAAAAGACGCTGATGACTGATATACAGAATGCTATAATGTAATATAATTATTAACTACTGTCTATAATATCATGATTTATGATACATGATATAATAGGCTTATAATGCTTATCGTAATATATTATAGAATGATGTGTCGCTAATCGCTCGTCAAATACCTAATCCCGTATGTATTATTTTATAATAAATATTAATAGTAATATTGATATTATAAAATAGGTTCCATTTTGACAATGATATTCATTTTCGGTAGACTAAATCATTTAAATCCATTGTTCATCAGTTTTACTTATTATTCTATTTATAATAAATTGTAATTTATAGATTATATTATGAAAAATAAAAAGATTTCTGTATAAAAACGTTTAGATGAGGTTATTCAAATTAAATTTCTATAATTTTTAATTATGACAATTTTATTCAAAAAATAAAAGAAAAACAGTTAAATTTTTTAAATTATTTAAACAGGTATAATCATTTGTAATTAATTACCTATATTTATGAATATATTTATGCGCCTACATCTAATCATCATTGAAAAAAAACTGCTGATAAAAATGTACAAATTTAGTCAAACAATTTGGAAATTTAATAAGTAAATGTGGTTTTTCATAAAATGTCATAATAATTATCACAATTAAAAAATAAAAATAAACATCAAAAATAGATAAGCACAACTTTATTTTATTTGTGTTTAAAGTTCAAAGTAGCTATTGTCGTATTGAGTTGGTTTTGAGTAAATATTCTAGTAACTATGTCTATCAGTAACTTTTTTCTAGAAATGATGACCGACACAAAAAAAAAAAACATTCACATTATTGTATAACTTATACACGGAGTAGAGCTATAATCGCTCAGAATCTTAAATAGACATTCACAAATAAATGCTCCAATTTTCATATTATTTAGATATAAAATTCTATAAATATTTTTGTTTTGTCTATAATAATATTTTAGTTAATAATTATTTAAGTTGTATTTTAAACAGAATTTTAAAATTAGTATTAATCTTCAGCTCATATTGAATTTAATTCAAAATCAATTAAATTTAATAAAAATATATTTTTATAATTAATTTATAAACATTTTATATACATTTTATTAATTCAACAATAATTGATTACATTAAAATATAATATATTGTACAATGTATAATACAATATATAAAGTGTAACTTATTCAGAGATTGATTTTATTAAAATTTATAATAATATAAAATTGTTAAAAATTGCTATTTATTAAATAAAAATATTTAATAGTTGATTAAATGTATTCAATTTCCATTATTTTTTTAAAATTATTTCATTGATTTGGTATAATTCGGATTTGGTTTTAATATTGTATTTTTTTGTTTAAAATATTATAATTTTATATTTTTTTATTTTTGTACAAATTTTATTGAAAATTAATTATTGCAATGGTTTAATAGTAGAAAAAAATAATAATTACTTTTTATTTAGCGACTTTGTAAATACAACAAATAATAAATACTTATTTTCATATAATTGATTAGTAGTTTTTCAATAGATAGTTAGTACAAAATTCTCTGAATGTTATTGCTGAAGTTAAATCAGAATATGTGACAGAGTAGATATATATATATAATAAACATACAGGGATCTATGTTAACATGTGTATAATGGTAATATGAAATGAATATATAGTAAACAGAAAAAAGAACCATGGTCCGTAGTTTTCTTAGTAAATATAACTGTTTGTAAAAGGTCAATTTCGTAAATAATAGATATTATACAATTCAAAAGATTATCGTTCATATTTCTTGTTATTTCATATTTTATAGCTTATTAAAAAAAAATATTTGTTATTATTGTTTGTTAATCCCTATTTTGGGTATTATGAAAAAATGCAATTAAGTTTATTCGTCAATTCCCATTTTATTATTTTTGTGGGTGAATAGAAAGAAAAAAAAGTTATACATATTCAAATAGATACACATAGAATATAGAATATACTATATATATCATAATATAAAAATATGTACTTATTATAGTTTTGTAATCTAGATATTAGAAAATAGACTGATCACAAAAATAAATTGGTTATTTAGTATTTTTTATTTACATTATGTCTCAAGAATCTAGATGCATAGTCTATAATCTATATTATTGATATTAATATTAAATTATAAGGCCGATGCTTAAAATAAATTATTTATTTATTGAAATAACATGATGATTATTATAAAAGATATTTATACAAAAAAAAAATATTATAACAGAGAATATTAATAATATTATTATTGTTAAGCAATCTATTTTCGATTATTACATTATAGCATATTATTTACTTTAGTGTTAACTGATTTATTTATTAACTACTAATAATATCGCATGAAATGTTCAATTATGTATCTATTAGTACCTATCTAGTAGGAATTAATTAGGAAGTGTGATTTGCTATAATATAGCTTTACCTATAGTTTTGTTCTGTTAATACATTATTGTTTTTAGTCCACTAAAACGTACCGACTATAAGAAATTATAGTAAATTATACATTTAGTTATAAATTAAAAATTAAGTTTTAATTTATATATTATTCCCTTAAGATAAAAAGTGAGAAGTAGAATTCACCCTCAGTAATTCATGTCTGTAATAATAGACGATACCTATATGAATAATAAAATTAGAAATAACAGACAGAATTTTAAAGATATAAAATTAACTATTAAAAGGATACTATAACTTGTGGTAACCTACAGGATGAACACATTTACACATGCAAACAAGGGTGGGAAAGTTAATAAAAATAATTAACTCAAGTTATAAGTTAAGCTAAAAAAACACAAGATCGATAAGTTAGAAGTTAACCGTTAACAAATTATAAATTTAACTTATCATTTAATCTTCTTTTCTACAAACTCTAAAAGTTAGTAGTTCGTCTTATATTAATAATAATTATATTTTCTGGTTTGTTTAAACTAGAAAGTTTTATTTTATTTGAAAACATATGAAAAAAAACCATGTTGAAAGATACTCGATTTAGCTCGAATTAATAAAATGTTAAAACCGTATTATATTAGGTAAAATAAGAAATAGTATATGATTTATGATTTTTAAATATTTTAGAAATGTTGAATAAAAATAAGTAAAATTATTAATATTAACTTTAATTAACAAGTAAATGATTCTTGACTCTTGTTCACTACAATTAGTAGGAGGTACCTACAAATATAATTCATTAATTTGTAAAAATACCGAATAAGAGAGAACTTCGTTGGCTACAAGAAGATTATTATTTTTTGACCTAATTAAACGTTTCTGTCATGTGATTTAACTATGTTTATTTTTAATAATTTTTGAAATATTTTTGGCCGAATTGGTGACGTTTCATTAAATAAATAAATAATTAAAAACTCGTTGTTGATATTGCTGACAGCGAATGGGACGTTTCGGCGCCGACAGTTCGGCGAAATGTCAATTTGACGATGTCCGTTTCGGCGATACGTCAAGGTACTTTTCGGCGCGTAACCAATTCGGCTATAGGTATACTGATAGCAATGAACTTATATCTATAATATACAGCTTTAGAGTGGTATATTAACTAAATGTTCTATATTACTATAAATTATTGTTATTGTCATTACACGATAAGATGGTTACGATAGTCGATAATTTATGGTTGATCTGGCTACAGATCAGTCAGATAATTTTATGATTTTTAGCCTATTACTGGGGTCGATAATTTTTTATATTATTATTATTTACGTGCGATTTGTATGTGCTGTTGAGAGAACTTCTTGATAGTCACATCAAATATATATACCTAATATCGGTTGATAGTTATATTATAATTTATAGGTCGCCCTTTTTATTGACTCTTGTGTGAATATACGTAATCTTTGTATTTTTTAACCGTTGTATAGTGCGAATTTTTGAACCAACTGCCAGCTAAGAGCTCACACATAAATAACATACATTAACTATAAATATTTAGAATTATTTTGGTTTATTTGTTCTTTTTTTATTTATTTATGAATTAAAATGAATATTGTATTTATTTTATTATAAAATACAATTTTACATTATACATATATTACATTTTTTTTTTTACTATTAATTTTCGCCGAAACGGACATCGTCGAATTGACATTTCGCCGAAATGTCCGCGCCGAATCGCCCGTGTCGAATCGTCCTAGATCCTTGATGACCATTTAGTGTTGAAATTTAAAATATTCGTGTAATATAATATGTCCTACTGTTTGTCTTTAGTATTGTTTTAGAGAGCACATCGAACGGTTTACTTTTATCTCATAGCGTAAACTTTTCGTAAATATATTCATAATTAAATCATGGAAAATATAATAACCGATGTTAAGACGACTGTTCGACTGTAGCTTCAACAGAAAACATTTCGAAAGAACCACTTAACGGTCAATTAACGAACGCTTTAGGAAGTCGAGAACTCCCCCATTAAATAAACGAAATATATTCCACTTCTACGCCAAACATACACATCATAATTATGACTGTAATAGTTGTTCAGTTGAGCCCACCATCGTCTCCTTAAAACAGACACCAAAAGCACTTCTTACTTATTGCTCATCACTAATTTTGTTGCCAAATTATGTGGGACCACAGATGAGACGTATATGATTGCAATAGT